ACGTGCATAAGCATTTGGACATGTATATCAAATCTATAAACTAAGATTATCTCCCATGCTTCAAACGGTTTACATCCAAATATTACATGTATAAAGCACTTATATATATATGTATGTATGTATGTATGTATGTATGTAGAACCCAAAACTTCCACACTTGAAATAAAGCCACGGTTAACATAGCTTGGAGAAAAATATACACCTATCACACTAAAATATAAGGACTTGGTTTTACAATTTATCATACAAGGAAGTTAGATTACGTGCAGCACCATTCTCTTTCTTCTCTCTCTTCCTTTAACCATAACCGACGCCATATCATGGGGAAGAATAAGCTCTGTTTCAGACAACCAAAATAGAGCAGCAACCGAAGGTGTGTGTATATATATACACACATACATACACACTACACCGGATACCAAACTCTAGCTCTACAGATTCAACAGCAAGAAGGATCAGTCAAACCATCACATGAAATGAGATTTTCACTGCAATGGATCTTTGTTTAATTAAATACAGAGCTGCAAAATTGAACAGCAACCTTCCCTCTGTTTTAGCCATCAAAATCAGAGCAAATAACCAACGACCATGGCTAAACAATATACATACATATATATATATATATATATCAGTTCGGTTTTTCCCCATTTGGCTTCACGAATCCAAATTCCAAGTACCACTACCCATGCGCATTCAGTTCTGAAAGTAAAACAGAGGCAAAGAAAGAGACATGCAACTCAAAAACTACCACCACACACTTCAATCTTGCCATAGAACAATAACCAAGCGGTCCTCCTCTTCTTTCCTCCATTTTCTCTCACTAGAACTCCAACTCCAGCGACTCAAAACTTGATATCTAACCATCATTTGCAGAAAACAACAATAGAAGAGTGCTTAGGAGGCTCACCTTAGGCAGATTCGCTGATTGCATGCAAGAAAACTACCTCCGATCACCACCTCCGTCGCCCCCTCCTTCTCTCGGTCTCCCCCTCTCTCGGGCTCTCTCTCTCTCCTCTTTGAATGGCAGTGGAAATGAAGACAGGAAGATGAATCAGATGATTAATGAGGGAGGCAGCACGGGTGACTTGTGTAAGAAAAATTTCTAGACCATTTTGCCCCCAACATATTTATTTCTCCAATCTTATCCCTCTCCTATTTTTCTGAAATATGAGATATATTCAGAAATTAAACCAAAGTATCATGAATGGATTTTTCTTATCCATTAGCTTCTTTGACCCATAAAATAATTTTCCTAAAAATTTCAGATTAAATATAAATCTCTAAGTATTTCTCCATAATTTTCAGAGAAAATAAACCATTTTTCTCTTAAAATTATCTATTAAAGTTATTTAAGCCACTTTTTGGGGAATGAAATTTTCCAAAATATTTCTAAACCTTGAAAAATCAATATTCCATAATTTTCCCCAATTGTGATTGAGCTATTAAATAATTTTAATGAACTTTCTTTTTTCTGCTCATCCTAAGTCAGCAAATTCGGGGTATTACAAATATGCCTATTTTTAAGACTTCTTGACAAAATTCCATCACTAGCGTGATTTCCCGAACAATAATTTTGATTTTTCCATTTACAGGTTTAAATTGAACTCGAAAATTTACTTACAAAAAATATTGAGTTCTTTTTCTCTGACCACACCTTTGTTAACACATTGCTACAGTACTTATTTTTTCACAGCTCTTGATCGAAATGACACGCAAATAAGAAGAGCTTTTTTACTCATTCATCTGATTCTTCGTTTGGCCCTAGTGAGGATTGTTCTATCTCAACTAATTGTTCTCCAAACGTCAATGGTGAGTCAGGCGAACGATGATTTGCCGTTGCTTCCAATTTCTGAGTAAACCATTAAAACATAAAAGAAACTATGTAAAGCAGTTTTGATATACAAAACTAATTAAATGACTCATTTATACAACCAAATCAAGAAATAGCGTGAAAACCTCACTCCAGTTGAGGACTATAACAGATTGAGCAACAAGCATGGACACACAATCCATGAGGGCAAGTAACCATCAAGCGCCGTTGAAACCACGACTACAAGCATGGGGATAGTGCCCACGAATTTCAAGCGAGCTTGGTGTTAACCATGACGTACCAATACAAGCGCAGCTGAAGCCACGAATAACAAGCGCGACTGAAGTCATGAATAATAAGCACGCATGCATGGGATCAGTTTACTAGTGTTCTGTATCTCTCAAAAACATTTCCAAGCATGCATGGGATCAGTTTACCATTGACAAATAGAAAGGATCTTTTTCTAATGATAAAATCTCAAAAGCAATACCTTATAACAAAAGATCCCAGATGTAAGTTTTAAAATAACATAAACTTTTCTTTCCACGTCCAGGCATGAATGTTCATAAAAATAAAATATTGAAGAGGAAATATTCTCAAGTAAAGTTCTTGTTCTACGTAAGCAATAAATAATATCTTCCGAGAGATAAAACATTAAAAGTATCCAATAAATGAAAAGGAAAAGTGATGAAATTAAAAGAATTATTTGATAACTATTTTGTAAGAAAGCTGATAATTCAATTAAATTGGTATAGAACAAGCAGTAAAAATATCATTTGTGAAAAATATTATTGGACGCTATTCATCACTTGTTGCATAACCAAAAGTATAACCTACTCCTATTAAACAGCTTCTGGCTCATATGCACTCCTAATCTCCAGATACCCAGAACAAAACTATTATTTTTCTTCTTTATAAACCTATTGAATTCATAACATTATTCACGTCGTCCAGGTCTTAATTTCAATAATAAATAATTCTTACACCATAGGTATCTTAATTTCAATAATAAATAATTCTTACACCATAGGTGATTCAATGTTACCATTAACATGCTCAAGCAAGCAAAACCAAGTTCTTCATAATTTATAGAACATTTAATGATCCTCTCTTTCACCTAATCCATCAAACGCTTTATGGGCATTCAAAAATTAAATTATAAACAAATGTCTTAATTCATAAACTGCCATTCATGCACTCCCAAGCAATAATATTAATATAGTCTATTAAGCTTACTCAATCCAATTTCTTCACAAGGCTTATTTGAGTTCTTGAATTATCATCCAACTTCATTCCAAAACATCATAAAATTTCACTGCTTCCAACCTTATCTTTAAGCAAGATTTAAATGAAACTCCTTTGAAGACAATTGAAATTATGCTCCGCCGTGAAAATGCTGTAGAAACATATATTCAAGTAGGTCTCTTTCATTTAAACATTTTATTGAATACTTTAAGGGCATTCCAAGGCCAACACAAAGTAAATAACTACTTTAAAATTTCCCCCAATTGCTCTTTCTTATTTTCACACAGCAAATGGAGAAAAAGAGGAAGGAATGAATGACCAAAGCTTCAAATCACCTAGCATGCATCAACACAACCCAAAAAGAAGAAAGATTCAACTATACCACAGCAGCGCACTTAGACAAGCAAGGATAAAGGTTGACGGTTTTAGCATAGAACAGAGGAAGAAGGGAGACAGATATGGAAGCGGTCATCAAGAGAGAAACTTCTATAATCTGGGCAAGGCAGTACCAAAGGAGAAGAAAAAAATCAATGCTGAACAAGGGAGAGAAAATAGTAAAAATGGAACCTTGAACAGCAGAGGAGATGGCAATTGTGAACACTGGCGACGACCAGGACAAACGAAGGTGAAGGACTGGAACTGAATGACAGCTAGAGTCCCTCATTTGAGAGTCTCGAAACTTCCCTCTTCTCTGCTCCCCCCTTGTCTGCCCCGAGATCCCGCCTCCAAAAAAATCTCCCCTCCCCCTCCCCTTCTCTTCTGATTATATATTTTTGGGAAAATTATTCTTTTAATCATTTAACTTTTAACTCACTTATAACTCAGTCCCTCAACTATGACTTGCTGCGACTCAGTCCTTCAACTTTTGACTTGCTTATAACTTAGTCCCTCATCTTTCTTATTTTTTAGAAAATGATTTTTATCATTAATAAATCAGCCCTACTCGTCCAACCTGTAAGAAAACGTTATTTACTCCATTACTGATTGCTTATGTGGGTGCCAAGTCAGAGACATGTGGAATGTATTTAAGATTAAAAAAAATAATTTCAGTTAAGGTAGGGTTTTTGAAAAAAACAAGAAGGTGAAATAGAGGTGACCGAACAAAGACTAAAAGCAGAGGAACAAAGAAAAAGGAGACGGGCAGAGGAAATACTAATTGAGACAAAGTGTAGTGTAGACGCCAAGAAGACGAAAACTCCACACAACGAAAAAGACGTACGGACGCAGAGAACAATGAAGAAGAGAGAGCCAGAAAAGAAGAAGATTAGATGAAGAAGGAGATAAGACTTTAGAAGATTGTAAAGGAATATCAGCAGGTGAAAATTATTTACTTTGTAGCAGTTTATCTGTGTGCTTTATATGTTATAAGGGCCCGCTTGAAGCTCTCTTGTTTGGTGTGTCAGATGCATGTGCTCCTGGAATTTTTTGCAATATATACACATAACAAAAGTATTTCTGTTTCACATGGTAGAAGGCTTTAGTGGTCCCACTGGTTTATTTAAGTAATACTTGTTATATTCATCGATTTTGGCTCTATCTTGACTCTATTTGGTGGTCCCCTTTGTCTAATTTGACTGTATCAATTGTTTATCTAGATTAATGAGAAGAAAATATATATAGAAAAACACTGATGTGCAATACATATAAATAAAGCCTTTTGGATGATCATATGTTAGAGAAAAAATTGATGAATAATTCATTTAGCATCAGCATTGTCAATAGAGTCTAATAACACCATCCTATATTTTATGGTATTAACACAAAAAAATTGGTCATTAGTTTTTGTTAGTTCTTGGCTAAGATACTAGAGTGTAAGATGCCTACTTTGTGTCCCTTGGTTTATGTGATCCAAATTCGAGTTATATCGTTTTTGCACTGTAACTATTTTATTAATTTTTCTGTTTTCTTTTTTTTTTTTTTTGTGAATATATAGATTTTCAAATACATGGATGTTTCAACTAGCAACGGTAAGTGATGGGTACTTTTGATTTATGTTAATATTATAATACAATTTGTGTCACTTATGTGAGGCCTAACCATATGAAATGAAAAATAGGGGGTCATGAATGGAGTAGTGATGAAGACGACGAGTTAAGTATTGAGGAAGATGATGAAACTTATTTGGAAGAAGATAACATGTCATTAGATAATGTGGATACCTTAACATTGGTTGATGAAGATATGGGCTCTTTGTCATCTAATCTTAAAACTGATTCATTGAAATCTATAGATGAATCTGACTTGGATTTGGAAGAGGGTGTTGTGACTAGTAGTTACAAAAGATATAATCCATATGAGATGTGTAAAGACTTTATCTTCAAACTTGGAATGGAGTTCACCTCGATTGATCAATTTAGGGAAGCTGTTAGAGATTATTCACTTATGAATGGATATGAAACAATATATGTTAAAAATGATAGTGTCAGGTGTCGTATAAAGTGTGTACGTTGTAATTGGCTAATATTTGTAAGTAAAGAGAGGGATTCGATGACATATCATGTGAAGACTTATAATTCAAGACACACTTGTGGTGTGACCTTTAGTTCTAGGAATGTTTCTTCTAAATGGGTGTCAAGAAAGATTAAAAATAGAATGAAGATAAATAAGAATATGAGTCTTGGAGATGCGATATCTACAATTAAGGAGGATTACATGGTAGAGGTGTCAGTGCCTAAGGCTTATTGGGCAAGAAGAAGGGCAAAGCAAGATATTGAAGGTGATTTTGTGGATGAGTACAAGAGATTATGGGATTACAACAATGAGATCTTCTCTAAAAGTCCTGGAACTTCATTTACAATTTTGACAGATCGTCCTTTTATTGATAGACCACCAAGATTTAAAAGATTATATCTTTGTTTGGATGCTGTCAAGATAGGATTTTTAGCAGCATGTAGACCTATTATTGGCTTAGATGGATGCTTCTTAAAGGGGCCTTATGGTGGAATATTACTAGTAGCAGTGGGACATGATGCAAATGAGCAATATTTTCCTTTAGAAATCGCTGTAGTTGAAGGTGAAAATCGAGATTCATGGTCATGGTTTCTTGAGCATATTCTAAATGACATAGGAAGAACACAAAGATGAGTCTTTATTTATGATCAGCAAAAGGTACTTAATATGCATTTTTTTCCTTTTACTTAAATAGCATTTATCTTTAATTCCTTAACAGATTTTCTTTTTGTCATGGGGATTAATGCCAACATTTGAGTCACTTCTTCCTAAAGTTGAGCATCGCTTGTGTGTTAGGCATTTATATGCCAACATTAAGAGTAGATATGGTGCTGGAACTGTGATTAGAGATTTGGTATTACAAGCTGCAAAAGCAACACATGTCAATGGATTGAAGCAAAAAATGCATGAGTTGAAAAATAGATCAAAAGAGGCATAAGACCATTTGATGAAGTTCCCTCCTCAATGTTGGACAAAATCTCATTTCACTGAATATCCAAAGTGTGATATGATTATGAATAACATATCAGAATCATTTAATGGTAGGCTTTTAGAAGCTCGAGAACTTCCAATCATTGGTTTGTTAGAATGGATTCACACTTATATCATTACAAGATTTCAAGCAAATAAAAGAAAGGCGGAGAAATTTAAAAGTCGTGGAAGTCATGTATGCCCAAATCCAAGGCGAAGGTTGGATAAAGAAGTTCGTGAATCAAGAAAATGGGTTGCTTGACAAGCAGGAGAATTTGAATTTGAGGTCTCTTGTTACTCACATAAATTTTCAGTTGACCTTGCTTCTAAGAGCTGTGCTTGCAGATGGTGGAACTTGACTGGGATACCTTGTAGGTTTGTTACAATTTTTAAAGTTATGTTGGAGTTTTGAATCATAAGTCTATTTTAGATTTTACTAACATACTATTGATTATCTATTTCAGGCATGCGGTTAGTTCTATTTATGTAAAACGAGAAGACCGTTATGATTATGTACATTCCTACTTGAAGATAGATGCTTATGTTGAGTGTTACTCCCCCGTGGTGAAGCCGATTAATGGACAAGAAATGTGGGAAGCAACAAATAGGGAGGAGATAGACCCTCTGTCTTATCACAGAAGACTAAGAAGACCTCCAAAATTAAGAAGAAGAGTATCTGATGAGCCTTCACAACCTAATAAGATTTGAAGGACAAATGCACGACTTCGGTGTACTTCTTGCAAAAACTATGGGCATAATAGAAGAACATGTACTATTGGAAGAAACTCACAACAAGAGTCTACTAGTACAATACCTCCACCATAAACCTAGCAGTGCAAAATCAAGTACATGATGAAGTGGATGTTGTTTGCAAAGTTTCTTGTTGGATGACTTTATATCTTAACATATGGCGTAGGCCTTTTTGGATGTATTTGAAATATTATTTTGGGTGACATGTCAATGTTTTTTTATGTCAAACTATGGTCCAATTTAATTACAGTAGATGTTTTGGTATTGTCACTGGTATGATACAAATTATGCTAAATTTCACACTATAATTTAGTTTCGTGTTACACAAAAATGGCATCTTGCTTTATTGTTCACTTATTGATTGTTGCCAACTTGCTGAGGGTTTGAACCCTAGTACCATATATGTCTATGTGTGTGAATCTATATAGTCCTATCATATGAAAATGGCAAGCATTTAAGTAAATAGACACTGATGTAAGTATGCTAAATTGCTAATTTATTAATTTCAAATAACGTTCACATATGATATAGTACACCTTATCAATTTTACAATCCTAAATAATTGAGTTCTCTGTCTCTTGAAACAATTATTCAATGCTCGGGTGCAAATGGTGGTCTCAAGGTCAACTAATTCTTGGCAGACACCTTTAATGCTTCCCACTTCCTCTTTGATCCTCCCCCTTTCACTCTTCTTGCTCTTTGATCTTCACCAATGAAGCCTCTTCTTGTGAATGCTAAGTAGCCTCAGATAGTATTCCAATGATCATTCTTTTGCAAAAGATTTGGAACTTGTCCTATTGTACAGAATAAGCAAGATCACAAATCCAGCACGGTCATATAAACAGGGCAACAATTTTATATGAACACTTGTATATGCAAGTATTTCATCTCTCCAGTAATAAATATTTGATTAGAGAACATCTAGATACCCAAATGTAAAAGCCCGAATAGGTTGTGTATAGTAGCCTCTTGACGTAGAACCTTTCCATTTAGAATTGCTTCCTTCGACTTCCTCAATTTTTAAGGGAAATGAATTGCTTCCTTAACCCAATTCAAGAATTAATAAGAAATCTTTTGAAACACTATGTGACCAAAAAAATTGTTCCACACAAACCATACTATAATTCCGCTAGCTAATCTCATTTAGATGCATAAAAACACATTATAACTGATTCTTAAAAGTCATTACAGCAGAAAAAGTGAAGTACCCAAATTTTTCAGAGAACAACGCAAATCTCACCAAATCAATTAGAAATTAATTTAGAAAAAGAAAATTTTAATGAATCATTCCTATAGAAGATGCCAAGAAGGAATTTTCATGTCCATTTCCTTGATGCCTCAATCAGTCGAATGAATAGGATGATTTTTCAATACCCAGGTGAATAATAGAACCCACAGCTTACTTAACCCAACTATTGTGAGAGGCCATCAATAGAGAGAAGAGGACGACGTTCTATATATGCAAGTAGACGACCATAAGGAGGTGAGCCCTTTTCGACCCTCCGAACAACATGATGAAGACACAAGGGGATGAGAACGGTGTGAGATCTGGAACTTTCTCTCAACAAACAAAATTGAAATTTAAATAATATTAAAGAATATTAAATTAGTCTTTTTCTAAAAAAATAAAATTTAATTATGCTGATGTGGTATCTGATGTGGCAGTTACATGGATGTGAGATATGATGTGGCAGTTAAATAGGATAACAGATGTGATAGCAAAGGACAAACTTTATTAACGGACAAAAGATAAGGGACTGAGTTATAGACAAGTTAAAAGTTGAGGGACTGAGTCGCAGGGAGTCATAGTTGAGGGACTGAGTTATAAGTGAATTAAAAGTTGAAGGATCAAAAGAATAATTTTCCCTATATTTTTTTCCTTTAAACTATACGGTTAGTGTTACACCTCCTTTATTACTATATTATACATCAAATGGAACCATCATAACACATTTTCTAACCTTTACGATTGAAAAATTACAATTTTTTAAATATTTTTTTGACGTTTTATGCCTTTTATTAGTAATTTTATTGCTTTGTTTTCATTTTTTTTAATGAAAATATGAAAAATATAAAAAAAATGTATTTTTTTAAAATGGATCGAAAGCCCACGGGCAGGTCTTGAGCTTTCAAGCTTAAAAGCTGGATCTAGCAAAATAGGACATTTTTAAAATTTTGGCCATTTAGAACCAACCCGTTTAAGAAAAAAATAGAATTTTTTTCCAAAAAATCTCTGGGATCCCCCCTCCAAAAAAATCTCTCCCCCCCTCTTTTGATTATATATTTTTTTCCTTTAAACTACATGGTTAGTGTCATACTTTCTCTATTACCATATTATACATCAAATGAAACCATCATAACACATTTTCTAATGTTTATGAGTAAAAAATTACAATTTTTTTACTTTTTCATATTTTTATGCCTTTTTAGTAATTTTATTGCTTTGTTTTCATTTTTTTAATAAAAATATGTAAAATATTTTTAAAAATTGTATTTTTTTCCCCCTTAAATAGGCCTTGAGCTTTCAAGCTTAAAGGCCAGATCTAGTAAAATGGGACATTTTCGAAATTTTGGCCATTTAGAGCTAACCCGTTTTCCAAAAAAATCTCCCCCCTCCCCCTCCCCCTCTCTTTTGATTATATATATTTTTCCTCCATAAGGGTATTTAAGGAATTTAGAGAGGGCAAAAAGTTTAAAAAGTAAAACCCTCCTGATGCTAAGACTGGGTTCGAATCGGGCGCCCTATGATACCCAAAAAAGCCGTCAATGCCACCCATTCACTAACTTCTCTCGGTGACCGAGTTACCATCAATAGTAAGAGATATTAATTAACTCATAACTATTATTTTTTTCTCCATTCATTTTTTTCACTACTGTTTTGTATTTTTTTTCCACGGCCATTACAGGTTAATTGCACAAAAAAAGAAGTATAGATATTGAATTCAAAGGTAAAACAAGAATGAAATAATGCGTTAATTACCAGTCGATTTTGAGCCTTGGATGGATCCAACAAGCTAGATATGAGCGGAGATTGAGCAGAGTAGCAACAGTAAATATGCAACATTACATATTTGGAATATATGCTTGCTTGTGAACGTTTCCAACGAAACAACTCAAAATATGTTTTGACTCGAAAATCAGTACATTACACTGGAAAGGGGGGGGGGAGAACAAGGAACGAAAGAGAGTCTAAATTAACAATGCTTTGTCCCGCTAGCTTCATTTTAACTTGCATTCATAGGTGTCGCTCACTTTTCAAGTCATTAAACTCAGTATTAGTGGCGTTTCGTTTTCTCTTGATTTGTTTTTCTTCCTTTGGATTATGTTAAAAAGGATCAATCTTAATAGCCTAGAAGCAAAGAGAAATTGAATCCGTGATCAGGGCCACAAACAAGGAGAATACAATGCCACTAGGCCTATATTTATTCGTTAGAAAACATAACGATGCATACTGATGTTGCTGCAAATGCAATGGCAAGCTATAACCAATTATTCTTATAAAGCACAAATATCTATTATCTCTTGTCTTGAATATAAGACCTAACTTTTAGTGTAATTGTACTACAAGCTAAGTCTTATATTTAGGACTAGAGGTAGTACAATATTTCTCCATCAATTATTATTACTATTATTGTGTTGATAATAAACTACCTATCGGTATTAAATGCTACTAGTTTATACAAATTCAATCATTGAACGTTAGGTTTAGTAGAATGACCTAGTTTTTTACAACATACCATTTCAAATTCTTAATAAGCGATGTACCTATATTTAGTACCCGATAATGCTTTGAACATGCCTCCAATAAGAGTATATATACCTATGCTTAATGAAAAAGAGAGAGAGAATTAATACAAATTCAAGAAAGATAAAACTCTAGTTGGGAGAAAGCTAATAGTCTAATACTAACTGTATACACGTTGATCATCTTGTTTTGCTATGATTCATGGGGTCTTATTTAATGGGTGTTAGACTCCCATACTATATTTAACCTAACCATCATTAGTGATAAAATATCCTTACTATATGAGCCAAAAAAAAATGCAACTGTTATTACTCCTCCGATTCTTAATATAGGACCCAATTGTTGAGTTAGTTTTGGTCCTAAATATAAGACCCATTTCTTATATTTATCAATTTTCTCTAAATTATCTCTATGGATATTCCCTCAACTATAATCAAGTAGAAGAGGGAGAGGGGGTATTAAGAAAGATGATTACGGTGTTTTGGAAAAAACGTGTCACATTTCTTATAATTAACTAACTTACCTAACTTTCTTAATCTAATCAAATTAGTTAAATGAGTTTTATATTAAGGACCGGAGGAGTATTATTTTATATATGTGTGTGTTTATTTCTATATATGAAAAAACGAAATGCACTTACCATTCCTTTCCTTGCTTGGATCCTCCGCAAAAGCCCATCTCACCAGCAATATAATATTGCAGTGAAGGAATGTGTGTGTGTGTGTAATAAGCTTGCTTGCGTTACTTTCCAAGGAATCGTCTGTCACGTTATTTAACTAGAGAAATAGAGTTTACATGATCATCTTATGGGAGTGAGTTTGGGTGCTCCTCAAGTGATGAACACTTCAAACTTATCAAATCTTGATCATTCAAATTTGACCTAGACAGTCCCAATTTAGTATTTATTTTTATTTTTTAAAATATTTATTTTAATGGGTACAGCTAGAATAAAAAATAAAGATAATCTCTCTATCATCATTTTTTTAAAATAACTAATTAATTAAAAATATTAAATTTGGACCATCCATATCTAATTTGGATGGTCTAGATTCCTTATCAAGTGATAAACAACACCCAGCACTCATCACTTGATAAGCACCAAAACCCAGTCCTCATCTCATCTCTATGAATATAGCCTCTTTGTATGTAAACACACATATATCATGGGAACATCTTCAATCTATCGTATAAGAATCACATTCTCCCCGCTTAA